CCCCAAAACCCCAAAACCCCAAAACCCCTTTTAACCCCAGCTTTATTGAACGAAAAGCACAGTGTCTCCACACAAAATTATTTTGAGAAATAGATACTGTTTGCCAACTTCTCATGCACGCTTATTTTGGTATATTTCCTATTTCTCTTGTTTTCCAATGTTCTCTTCTTACCACAATATTTTGAGGATTTCATAGATCTCTTCCCAGCCTGAGAATACATTGAAGAGTTCAAAGCCTGGCTTGAGATTTCAGAGCGCATTGGGGTGTTTACATCAAGAGAAGCTTCGTGAATAGATGCTCCTTGATTACTGCTGTCTTGTAGATCCTCTTCATTTCTGAGTAAAGTGTCTCTGTTTAAAATATTAGGGAAACTAGTATCCGACACTTGAATTTCTTGCTTGCTTTCCTCCTCATCTTGCTCTTCGATTCCTAAAAATGAGTGCAAACTTACTTGAAAGGTCAGGTTTTGGCTCATTTTCATCTATATCTTCAGCGTCATCTCGGTACTTAAGATTCTTATTTCTCCTATAATGTATTTTCTCTCTGAAAAGTTCAGCCAGTCTATCTTCAGATTCCTGACCTAAACACTTTCGCTTATAAGCTCTGTTCAAAAGTTTATTGCTGATACTTTCAAATCCTGCATTCCTTTTAATGCCAGAAAGATTATTCTTTGCAAAAGAACTTTCAAAACTTGCAAAAGGATTTTTCGGAGCAGCCACCGTCTTAATAGGCTGAATATTTTCCGATATATTCTCCTTTTCCTGATAGTCCTTTGTCATAGATTTAGGATCAATAACCCCAGAGCATGGTTTAGTATTTGCGTTGTACATAGTCTTGCCATCAGGAGGGTTAGAGCATTCTTCAGGCAAGGTGTTCTCTTCCTGATTATGCTTTTTAAGGTAATACCACTCTAGATAACTCTTCAATTCAGAAATCCCAAGTATAGAACCAGTCTCTCCTTTCTCCTCTTCATCTGTGGACTTCAATTCATTTCTCTTTTTAGAATAGTGAGAAGGATCTGAATTTTCTTCTTCTTGGTCGCTTTCATCATTTATCTTCAATTTCTCATTCTCAATAACTTGTTTGATTCCTTCTTTGATCACATAAGTGTTACTTAGATCGATATTGCCTCTCTGATGGACATTACTCTCACTCGGCTTGTTCATCATTTTGTTAATTCTTTGCACAACATGGTCTTTTGAAGATAATTTCAGAGCCTTTTGCCTATTCTCAAACTTTTGGCTTTCTTCCTTCATTTTGCACTGTCTCTTATCTTCAATGTCCATTTCTTTAATATAGACTTCATTAAGCTTAATGTAATTTGAAACCTCTTCCTCCCTCTTGGGGTTAATAAGTCTTGAAAAAGTGAACTCTTCCAAATGGGTTTCTTTTTGGAAAAGAGACTCATCTCTGGTCTCATCTTCTAGGTATCTACCTGAGTTTAGGTTGTAAATGGAGTCAATCATCTGTTTTTGTTCTTCATTGACTTCCTCCTGTTCTCTCTTGTGCGAAATTTCCATCTTATGATCGAAAACCGCTATTAAGGAAGACATATTACTGGTTATAGCTGAAATCCTAGACTGTTCACTCTCGATTCTCATCTGAACACTTTGTGATTGATCATGAGATTCCATTGGGTATTCAAAGTTTTCAGATTCCATAAGGATTGATTGCATGGTTTTATATTTATATTTCTCTAGTCCCGCCTTCACAAATTTATTGTGTAAAATATCTTTTCCCGCGCCATTCAAAGGAGCTTCGTTAGGCAATGGCTTCAAGGAGTGTATGATGACCTTAAGGCACATTCCTTTATAAGATTCACAGCTATCAATCTTAGTATCATGAAGGATGTACTCATAATTGTTAATCATTATGTTCATACCTCTAAGCTCTGACAAAGTGAGGTACTCAAACTTCTTTTGAAATTCCTCTCTACACTCTTCAGAATAAATAGCAGGTATTTTATATTCACCATCAGAAATTATAAGTCCAGGTATTTCCAGAACAAGTGCTTTGAATGGAACAATTTCTTCCCCAATGATCTTTTTGCCAGAGTAATTGTCTAAATATTTCTGGATCCCTTGTTTAATGTTCATAGTTTAAAAAGTTCACAATTTTTAGTTTTTAAATTGGGGTTTTGGGGTTTTGGGGTTTTGGGG